GAAAGAGAACCCGTCTTCCACGCACCCTCCAGCCAATGGGAGGCCGACAAAATGACCTGCATTCTGACGTCCCTGTGGCATTCATTTCGAAATAAACGTAATTTTTGCGCAAGAGCGCGCGAGCAAACGATATCACTTCGAAGACAAAATACGTTTTGCGGCTTAAATAATGCGTTAATTAATTAATTAATTTTTTTATCAGGGAAAGTGTACTTTGTGACATTCATAACCTATCCAATAACGAAAAAAAAAGAAGAAACGTTTACGGGTACCAACAATTACGTTGACGATGTTACTGATGTCGATCACCCATTACAGAAAAGCATTAGTCTCTTCATCGCGCATTTATTGGGTCCACACGTCCGCATGCCCGAGACCGGAAGGCAGACTAAATGATGTAATGTGCAAGGCGTGCAGTTGGTCATGTCAGCTCACGCCTGGTGAGATCACCGGCGCTTCTTGCAGACTGCGGTGCAACCGTTAGCATCCTTTGCCCATACCGCCCCGATGAGCCCAAAACATTGCAAACTTTCGGTCGTTCCGATACCTGACACTCCGCCGCTTCCTTTGCGCATATACCTCGTACAGTTATCGAGGATATCGGAGGTATCGCAACGATCAACTACTTTCTATTTACTGCACTGGTCGCACGATCGCGCACTCCACGACTCCGCGAAGGCTGAAATAGCAAGCAGCATTATATCGCGGGGCATCGCATGAGATTCCATCAATATTCAAAACCGCCTAACGCAACGTTTCTTTTCATTTTATTTTTTTTTTATTTTATTTTAGGACATGTACTTGGAATGGAAATATAAATGTTCATTAAGGTCTCGTACACATTTCCACGTGTATTTTGGAGGGATTTTTTTTCAGGTGTTCAATATAAAGGTACAGTAGATCGTTCCAGTGAAACCTATGACGGTACCTGAAACTCCTCCGGCCCCTTTGCGCATGCATCGTATCGTTATCGTATCGGGCATCGTTAACGGAACGACCCACTAAAACTCCATATTGTATATATACTCGATATTATCCATGACTCATACGCCGCAGAGTATAACGTACATACTATAACGTTACCGACACACACGGGTGTATCGACAACGTTGCATCAGATCGATATCTTCTATAAAAAAAGATATATATAGAGTAAACATGGGCAAGAGAGGCCCCCCGTAGCTGGGATTTAACCCTGTCTATTAAGTTCGAAAAAAAAACACAAAAAAACTGAACGAGTAACAGTATTTATCACTGTGGAAACAACGCAAAAACACAAGGACACGAGAGAAACACATGGGACGAGCGCATTTGCATACACTTGCGTACTGCGCAGTGCATGTGAGATCACCGGCGCTTCTTGCAGACTGCGGTGCAACCATTAGCATCCTTTGCCCATACCGCCCCGATGAGCCCGAAACATTTCACACACTGCGCCACCTAGGAGCGAGAGACGCACCTAGGTGGCGCAGGCTACCGCCTGTTTGCACGAAGGCTCTAAGCCAATACCTTCCATCGATCCGTTTATGAAACGCCCAGTACTGGTGATCAGACTTGTGAAAGTTACTCCACACGCGCAGCTCCGATTGAGTTACGTGTCCTGCTTACGCAACATGCCCACGACGCCACTTCGCTACGTCACATTCTTCCAATTGCGTCATCTCAAAATCGCCCAACCAAAAAGCCAAAAACAAAACGTAATTAACTTGCGTGACAACTGTCCGATAATAAGCTAGCCTTGCTCCTACTGCACGGTTGCCTTGGCGCTCCACCATGCTTCGGACGTGCTCAATGTCTTTCTAATGTTAACTGATTTAGTGGATTTCGATGACGCTTAGCAAGTTTCTCATTAGAGCAGTATGTTTATTTTCAATAATTAAAACGTCAATCAACATAATTTCGATAATTAGCCGACTGATCGTTACGATTAGCCGCATATACTCGGCCCCCTAGCCGTATAACTCACCCGGACCAACCGCATTAATGTAGCCTCCGTAGCTTTTTTCAACAAATTTGTTAAGCTTAAAAAGAAACACCCTGTATAGTGACGCGCTATTTGTAGAGCCAACTCCACATGGCGGGCAGTGAACACACTCCCAAAAAAGATCGAAAAAAAAAAAATAGTGACCTCTTCTAAGCGAGCCAACTGTGGGAGCCGACGATTCTATCAGCGTGCGGTGCCAACGAACCCTTCGCTAGCAACGCCGTTACATCTACGCCATCACTTCGCGTCTTCCATGCCTGTTTCCCGAAAAAAAAAAAAAGATATATATATATATATATATATATATTTTCTACGTGCACTAGACATTGCCGTCATCCATCAACCAAGGAAACGCGATCGGCTATCTAGTCAAAGCTAACATTGAGGGAAACGAGAACGCAACGCACGCGAGGGGTAACACATAGTAAATAGTATCGAAAAACATAACAATCAAACGAGTAATAGTTTTAATCTTTTTTTATCGTTTTTTTTTTTTTTTTTATTTTAGAGGAGACACGAAACGTGAATGTCGATGTTACGGCGCGTAAAACAAGTTATAACGATTTAAAAAAAAAAAAAAAAACGTAAGCGTTTCACAATGCCAACGACGACGAAAGATCGAAGATATATATTCTCTTTCTCGAAGAACACATCGTGTTTCAACAATTTGCAAATATATAAAAAAAAAAAAAAAAAAGAGGAACGATGATGCGTTGTACAATGAATGGAACGAACAAAATCGAGTTACGTTGCGAAAGAAGGGAACAAAATCGCGGGCCGACGATCTTCTGTTCCAAAATCCAAACAAATAAACGAGCAAATGAAAAAAAAAGAGCAAATTGATTTAAGAAAAAAAAAAAAAAAAGAAACCGAAATGTACTCCACACATTTTGCGAAGGAAAAAAAAAGGTACACGCAACGGGCGGGTTGGAAGCGGGCGATCGCTGCTGCTGGCTTGCCGCCGCACCAGCGTGACGGTCCAGGAAACCTGTTCTCGGTGCCCGAGGATGAGGAGTAATAATACTACCTTCCCGACGATAATAATAATATCAATATATACATCTAAAAACAAACCAACAAAAAAAAAACAACGAGAAACGATTGGTGTTTCCCTCTCGCGAGACGTGTGTAAGAGAGAAGAGGGGTGGCTAAGGATGTTACTCATACGCCAAGTCTCACGGAAGTCAGACCTACGTGTGCCCACTCTTCCCAAGAAGGATAACTCTTGCGCGAGCTCTCTGCACGAACGGCCGAGCCGACGACCCACTGCGAATTCCTCATTCCTCAGTCGGAGAGATGATCATCACGCAGCGTTGCCTTTTTTCTCTTTTAAACGTTTTCTCTTTATTTTTTATTTTTCGAGGAAGTTAAAGTTCGTCACTCTTTCCAACAGGTCAACCACGACTACTGAAGAATAAATAAAAATGGCGACCGAATACAACTGTGTGTACTGCCTGCCACCCTTGGTTCTGTGGAACGCGTTGTGGTGACTGGACATTCTTTCGCCTCAGGGATAGGTGCTGGAAAGGTGTACAGTGATTGGCCTTTGTTATCTGGGAGGTGAGCCTCAACTTTCCAAGGCAAGCGGCAAAAAGTAAAAACAAATGCCATGAAAAAAAAAAAAATATATATAAGGTATTGCAATTGACTCAAAGATATGCGTTTACTTTTTATTTTGGTCACAATAGTTTAACACATGAACGTATATTTAACACAATCAAACTAAAAAAAAAAAAAGAAGAAAAGTGGTTGGTATTGGTTTCAAGGTGAAAAGGCCGACAAACCGGGCTACAGACGTGTGCTCATCAAACCATAACAAAACAGACCACAAAAAAAAAAAAAAATAAATAAAGCTATACGCAGAGTTTGTGTTTTTGTGCCGTTTTCTTACTTTGATTAAAGGCATAGGAATCATGTTTTTCGTACGTACCAAAAAACCAGGAAAAATAACTCCCGAATTTAACGAAAAACAAACCCCAACTCGACCACATCAAATCTGCAGTTTATTCTGACCATCAGAAGTCGTGCTCGTCCACTAAAAAGGCCGAAACGCAATCACGAAATGGAGCAATGCGCAAAAATATGCATTAACTCGAATGGTAAATATTCATTGGAAGCGGCATTCAGGTGACTGAAAGTGGTAGGATAGAAATGCATACAAGTAACGTTTCCCCTGGTCCTAACGCAACATTTTCAGTGGGACTTCGAGGAAAAGTTTGAGATACGCCTGGTTCATCAGCCTAGGGATCCGATTGAGCTTACAGACGGTTGAATACGCACGCTAGGATCAGTGAAAGAGCATGAGTGCTTTAAACCGATGAAAGCCATTTTCAGCTTTTCCTCCCCGAGTTTAATATCAAATGGTCGCTTAGATAAAAGAGGTAAAAAAATATTTTGATCGTCGCTTACAAGTGTAACAATCAAACCAGTGATCAAACCCACTAATAGAGAAGTAAAGCGCCAAGACCGATGCAATTCAGAGCACACGAGTAGTAACCAGTTAGGAATGACGAACCAGAACAAATAACAGAACACATGAAAGTGAGTTCTGTGAAAGCGCACTAGTTTAAAGAAGAAGGAAAAAAAAAAAATCATCAGCTCCTTTGCGCGCACATTCATTTACTTTCCTACACCGCACAAACTGGCAGCAAGCGATAACCGAACTTAGCTCGATTGCAACCAGTTCGACGGAACTTCGACGCTTGCGATCGCCCCGACTTTGCGCTGACGCATCAAAGGTGAGGGAAATAAAGAGAGAGAGATGGAAAAAGAAGTAAGTGAGTAACCCGAACATGAATTCGTAGTGATAACATTAATCAAGAAAAAGCACGTGCCGCCTGTGTACACAAAGCGGCGAACGCGCGGCCCGGGACCGCTGGCCAAGCTGGGGGCGCGTCTGCTCTTTGTTTACATCCGAGCGGCGGCCGCGATTTCAAGAGCGCATGTCCGTGTATTCCTTTTTCTTTTTTTCTTTTCGCGTTCGCGCCGGGCCAACGAAATAAGAAACGTGGCTCACCTTTCCGGACGCCTTTTTGTACCTCGTAATGGCCAAATCGACGAGATCCCGCACGAGGATGTCACCGTTCCCGCACGGAACGATCACACGGACGTTGCCGAAATTCACTGTCACTTTCATGACCGGTTGCCGAGTTATCCAAAAGGCACGGAGATCCAGGAACGCAAACACACCAAAGGGGGGGCCCTCCGGCCCCCACAATATGTAAAAAAAGAAAAAAGAAAGCACCACAATGGAACACTCGCTGTAGACGCTGCCACTTCACCCGTACGAAAGGAGCACGGCGAGCCGCCGGCGTTTCATCTTCTAGACTACGGTACGCTCGCGAAGACGGCGCACATCCCGTAATCTCTCGTCGTTTGAAGGCGACATTCTCCTCGTGTGTAGGCTATTCGTCGAGAATCACTTGGTCGTGTCTGTCACCCGGTGGCAGCGTCGTTGTCGAAGGCACGCACCGCACGCACGCACAAGAAATAACACATCCGACACACCTGGCTTCTGAACCCCAGGTAAGCCTAACTGTCCGATATCGACTGTTGTGCTCGCGCTTCTCCACGCGAACGGTGCCGTCGCTCGACGTCTAACATCGCTGAGTTGAATCTGGCAGGGTGGTAAGAAGCGTCGGGTCCGTTGGTCGCCTATCGAACGCCGTAGAAACTTTTTTTTCCCCCCCTTCTCTTCTTGGTCCGCGCCAACGGTTTCTACCAAGCCGTGCTCAAACACAGGAACGGACGACGGCTGACGCTCGCGGGCATGGCCGCTTGCTCTCCACCACAAACGGCCTGATTGGACGACGGAGTTTGGGACAACCTGCGCCCTCCGCCAATGGGAGACGCGTGCGCGCGATTGCAGCGACACCGGTTTTGCAGTGACGAGGAAGAAAAGAGTGCGCCGCGCGTTAGTTTCGGTTTCGTTTCGCGCGCGCGCGGTTTATCTGGATTTGTTATTTTTAAAATGTCGATCTCTTCCGATATTTTATGAACAGTGCTTCGCCTCGTCGCGTGTGAACGATTTATCGTATTTGACCACGATTGAGCGTCACTGCAGAGCAATCTTTAACAACCGTTGTTGTTATTTACGATTTGTTTCTTTTTTTTTTTCGTATGCAGCGAGGGTGTAATGTATCTAACCCACTCCAAATTAATCTAAAAAATCAGTTTCTCATACTCCCACAGTATAATTTACCACAAAACGATGGCCATGATACATGGATATGTTTAATGAAAATATCGAAGCAGAAACGGCCTCACGAAGTGTGGTGCGATTGACAGGGGTAGTTGGTGCCTTGTGGAAAAACACGTTGAAGGAGAACTGCCTTCAGCCAATGCGCCGTACAATATTCACAATGGGTTCTTCGCGTTCAGTGAAATTGATGTGGGAGATGTGTGTGAGGAGGTGTGTGCTTTGGTGGTACGTCTGTGCGAGATGCTGCACGCGTTAAAAAAAAACACAAATACGCTGTTTTTTTTTTTTTTTTGTTTTTTTTTACAGAATTGTGGTTGCGCCTGCGCTGGAAGAAGCGAAACAATGTACACGAGCTGCTCTGTAAAGGCGCAGAGCGGATCTACCGAAAAGCTCGCGTACATACCTCCATCGCGTACATACATCGTCCACCGAACAGCTCTTGTACATACATACATACATCGAGTACATACATAAAAAATCTCAAACGTTTTTTTTTTTTTTTTTTTTTTTTTTTGCTAAGGTGTCGAATTGGGGATCTGTCGCTGTCTCGAGGACCGAAAAATAAACAAGACAGTATAAATGTGGAAATACCGAATAAATAAACCTCAATAAGCATTTAAATACAAAAAATTAAGCTAGACCTAGAATTTAAAAAAAAAAAAAAAAGAAGTGGATGAGGATTATGCTTGCTGTTTATGACATCACAAAACAATTGTGACTCGACGTTTCAATGTATCAAGGTACATTAGAACTTTGGCATACGTTTCCACAGGGCAGAAGACTATTGAAAATGGCAGATTTGTTTACGACAATACGGAATAGCTAGGCCCCAGGATACTACGCCCGATACAGAGGCTTTGCACACGCGCTAAATTACAGCCGCCATTGCTGACCTTCTCTCGTCTTACCGAGACAGCGAGACGCTGAAGCGGGCTTCGACAAGCCTCCAGAAGAGCCAATGCTGGGGAAAAGGACACGGTCAAATCTAGAATGGCAGTAACCTGTCCTGCCGTGGTAATGATGGAGCGAAGTGATCGAAATAAGAGGAAACAAAATACTGAAGGTCGGTTAAGGCGGCGCCCAGGCACAGCTGCTGCAAAACGCATAAGAACGCTTTTTTTCTTTTTTTTTTTCTGATGTGTAGTCACATATAGTACACGAAACAGTGGACTACGGATTGAAATTCTGGTGAAGACAGTGTACAGTAAATAGTAAATATTATGAAGAGAACCCGCGTTTGGATGTACTTTTCTGTCACTCTTCTTTTATATCTTCGTTTGGGTCTTGGCGCGCCTAGCGGGGCCGTTTTCTTTTTTACATTCGCCACTATTCTTGCGTTGCTAGCATCCAGACTTGTAGGTAACGCGTTACAAGTAACGTGTTACTTCTATCTAGTTATTATTATTTTTGTAACGAAGTAACGACTTAGTTACATTTCGAGAGAAGGAACGATTAACGTATTTCCATTACTTTTTGATAGAGTATCGAGTGACTGCATTTAGTAACTTCTGGTTAGGACGTGTACAACGGATGTTACCCTCTTTGGTTTCCACCCCAGCTTGCGTCTGTGACTTTCATAACAAAAAAGTGGCAACAAGAAAAAAAAAAAAGGATGCCCATGAATACTTAAAAAACTAGCCATTACTAACTAGACGAAAAATAACGAAAGACGGCTACAGCTTCAGAAGAACGACACATTGAGAGAAACGAGAAAGTCACTCGTTCCTTTTGAATGTAAGTATTAAGGAACGTGCTTCGTTACTTTTTGAGCGAGTAGAGAGTAACGGTATTTAGTTACATGTTTTTCTTCGCTAACGTGTACATGTCTGCTAGCAGCGGCCCTTGGGTCAGGCGTCACTGGAAGGACGGCGGCCATCCCCGGGTGGGCCGGAACGCCACTGCGGGCCTCTTCTGGCCCGTAAGCCGGGGTTGGGACCGGAGCCAGAACGGCGGCGGCCTACAGGATGGAAGGGAGGGTTGGAGTGAGAGAGAACCTCGCCACGTGTGAGCAACGACGGGGAGTGGGAGTGCAGTGCGTAGTGGAGTATTAAAACCTGTCGTTGGGCGAGTTGGTTCGTACTGATTTAAAAGGTTAAAAAGCGCAACGAAGCAAAGACAATAAAGACACAAAGACGACAGGACGGGCGCCAACTCACAACTCATTTTATTAGAAAAAACACTGTCACTTTTATACACAAGATCGTATGCCACCCCCACACTGCAACCAATCACCACTCTCACAAGCAGCTATCTAGAATCATTACTTCTTTCTGGAGCAAACACAGAGAAGGCATGCTAACGCATTTGTCATCTTTCCTTTTCATATAAAACTCCTCTATAATCTCTCTCTCTCGGTTTTATCATTCGATTTCTTTAAAAACTTCGTTTCAGCCAAAAGAGGCTTACAGTCAGCACATCGCCTGCCGTGGTCTGCCAGGTGTCCCCCCCCCCCCCCCCCCCCCCCCCCCCCCCCGTTGTTGCGCACAGAAAGATTATGCTCACGTGCCCTATTGTTAAAACAGCGGCCGGTTTGTCCCCAATATAAAAGTCTCCACAGGTTTTGAAGTAGGCTCTCACAGCAGCTCAAAATTAGGTTGGGTGGGTACCCTACGTTTTCTAACGTTTTTACTTGCTGAGCAAAACTGGTGTCCATCTGATGTTTGCAACTTTTTGCAAGAGCTGCCTGAATACATGTTAACGCGATACCTCTCTTGACCAGTTTGGAATGTGCACTTTTGTAAGAAACAAGGCTTTTCTTGGAACGCGGGCTATACTTCCAACAAACATGGTCCTCCGAAAACATGACCATAAGGTCCAAAAACCGAATGCAGTTCAGCACGGGCATCTCCCACGTGAACTTCAGTCCACCTGACGCTTCTTTAAATACATCGACGATCCTCACAACAAACTCATCCAAACCCGAATTTGTGTCTAAAATTAAAAGATAAATTAATAACCAACACGCTCAACCATCTACATATCTCAAGACTTTAACTACATGCAAACCAGTTAGGCATTCCAAAATGCGCCTGTCCATTGACGCTAAAAATATATTACATAAAACAGGGGCAATAAAAGACCAAACACTCTAAAAAATGTTCGCTACTAATGCCCGCAGAACTTTGAAAGTTGGCCTCTCCCGACTCGTCTATTTTATGCCGAACAGCTCGGAGTAACCCGTCGTGAGGCACAAAATAATAGAGGTCCTCCACATCTACAGAGAAAGCCGAGAGGGCATTTTTACACCCCTCTCTAAACACGTCAATCACTTCATCCGAGTTTCGTACAAGCAAAGGGTCCTCCAAAGCCAAGGTTGCCAGGTGGCGCTGTAGATAACGGCTAACAATAAACTGCCACGTGTTCTTCTAAGAAACAATGGCTCGGAAGGGACAATCAGGCTTATGCGTTTTTCATGTGAAGAACACTTCCTAAAAATTACTTTCCGCTTTTTTCGCTGCTTTCCTCAAACTTTAGAACTTCCTTGACTTCCAGCGGAAGTCAAGAAGTTCTACAAAAAGGCCCAAAGTTCAGCTTCGAGCCATCTACGACGCGACTAGAACTGCTCGCCATGGTCCGACGACTGACCGATCTTGCCGGTGAACAGCACAAAGAGCGTGCGATTGGCGATAGTGTGGACTTCCTCAAAGACACTGTGAGTCACCTTCCTAGGACGAAGCCTCCTTTTTAAAAAGTTGTGGGCCTTTAAGACAGAATGATCGATCCCTTGTCCAGGCTGATAAGGAGGGCAATTTCGTTGTTTTGCCGAAAGTTTTTTTTTTTTTTTTTTTCCGAAAGAGGGTGTTGACAGCGATAGCTATACTCCGTTTCAGCTTATGTTGTACCGCAGAGAAGGCTAGAAGCGCGAGCTCATAGCATTGGGAGCTAGCTGCCCTTGGTGCACGAGAGCTTGTGCCACCGAGATGGGCCCTAAAGCAAGGAACTCGCGCTTGTAGCCTTTCCTGCGGTACATCATAAGGTGAAACAGAGTATAAGAATTTCAGGGAAATCAAGTTCCATCCGAAGTCGGTAAAAACTCAGGCTCTTCACATGCTAAAAGTTTTGAATTTGGAAAGTTTGAGGAAAGCAGCGGAAAAAGCGGAAAGTAATTTTTTGGAAGTGTTCTTCACATGAAAAACGCATAATCCTGATTGTCCCTTCCGAGCCATTGTTTCTGAGAAGAACACGTGGCAGTTTATTGTTAGCCGTTATCTACAGCGCCACCTGGCAACCTCGGCTTTGGAGGACCGTTTTCTTGTACGAAACTCAGATGAAGTGATTGACGTGTTTAGAGAGGGGTGTAAAAATACCCTCTCCGCTTTCTCTGTAGATGTGGAGGACCTCTATGATTTTGTGCCTCACGACGGGTTACTCCGAGCTGTTCGGGATAAAAGAGACGAGTCGGGAGAGGCCAACTTTCAAAGTTCTGCGGGCATTAGTAGCGAACATTCTTTAGAGTTGTTGGTCTTTTACCTCCAGTCCACTGCCGTTAGTTACAATGAGCGTTTCTTTGTACAGAAATCTGGTGTTTGTATTGGCTCGTCGATTTCCCCTGTTTTATGT